GTGATGGAGAAAGCCATCAAAATTGAGCTTATCAAATATCTAGAGAGCTCAGGAATCATCAATGATAGACAATATGGCTTTCGCCACCGAAGATCTACTGGAGATCTACTTGCCTACGTCACCCATTTATGGCAATCTTCAATAGAAAAACACGGGGAATCTCTAGCTGTCGCGTTGGACATCGAAAGCATTCGACCGTGTTTGGCACGAAGGACTCCTCCACAAACTACCATCATACGGCTTACCACCTCAGCTATATGCCATCTCTTATCGAGTTTTCTTTCAGGCAGATCGCTTCACGTGGTGGTGGACGGTGTATCGTCTGATACCATTGGCATCAATTCCGGCGTTCCACAAGGATCAATTTTGGCACCAACATTATTCCTGCTTCAAATCAATGATCTGTTGGGAGTATAACAACTTGCACCATCCACAGCTTTGCAGATGATAGTACCCTCCATACTGCGTTCTCTTCCAGAATTCCCATTTCTTCCCAGGAAACTAAGAACTCACGGCGCAGGCAGGTCAATGCTGTCAATGAAGATCTTGCTGAAATCACAACCTGGGGACCAAACAACCTAGTTGAATTCAACGCCACCGAAACTCAAGCCTGCATTTTCTCTAGAAAGGCGGAACTCAGTATGCCCGATATTGCAATGTCTGGTTCCACCATCCCCACCAAGCCCACCATATCTATGCTCGGTATTTCCATCAGCAACACTCTTTCATGGGATAATCATGTCAGATCCATCGCAAAAGCTGCTTCACAAAAACTCGGATTCTTGTTCCGTGCGAAAAGCTACTTTACACCTCAACAGCTTCTCATGATCTATAAAGCGCAGATACGGCCAGCTCTAGAATACTGTTCCGTGTTCCCACATATGGGGTTCAGCACCAAAACATACGCTGATGCTCTTAGATTCCATCCAGAGAAGAGCCATTCGCCTGGTGGGTGACGCTACACTCACTCACTCTTTGACATCATTGGAACACCGTAGAAAGGTCGGCGACCTTTCACTTTTCTATCGATACTTCCACGGGAAATGTTCTTCGGAAATCTCTGCTATCATCCCTTCACTAGCAATACCAATCAGACGAACTAGACAAGCCCAGTCAGCACATCGTTTCGTTGTCAACCTCGAAAGATAACGAACAGCACTTTATCAAGACTCCTTCATCCATAGAACGGCTAGGCTCTGGAATTCATTGCCTGTGGAAGTAATCCCAACAACGTATATAATCTCCAAAAGTTAAAAAAAAATCCAATACCTACCTCCTGTCCCTATCCTCCCTAGGAACGCACGATGTTCTTTGAACATTATAGGGATTCCCTTTCGTGCGCTCCAAGCGATAAAAAAAAAGACATATCCATATTCGGGTGGTTGGTCATTCAGTCATTTCCTTCCAACTGGCAACACTGTATGACTATCCAGACTGATGAACGCTTTCAAAACTATTGAGTCTTTGAAACCTTAACGAGTCCCTTCCGTATACTTGGAATTGAACTGGATTGGGATTCTTCTTGAATTGTTTTTATACACTTGAAAAGGCGTAAAATCTACGTATCGATTTTTCCACTTTTTTTCTTTCAACATCGAATCTTTCTTTACTCAGAGAAAATTTAAACTTGCCATCTTGTGTTGAACAGTGAGTCATTGGTTTTATGTTATGTTCGCATTCAAAAGTGAATTAGAGAGAAAGCAACTATTCAATTTCGAAATTTTGAGATCTATATATATCTATGATTTTTGTAGCAAAAATATCGTCCACATATCTCATGCAAACTAGGAAAATACTCGAATTTTCAATTTGCATTCGCTTCAAACCTATTCATGAATAGTTCAGCCAAGAAAGATGAACAATTACCCATAGCTGTACCCTCCCATATGTAGCTAAAAAAATTCTTGTTTATATTGAAAAATATTTTGGCTCATGCAGAGGTTTGTGAGATTGACCAATTCTCAATATTATACCGATCAAGGTTGTTATATTCCAAAGTTGTTGGTGTATGGGTATACTTTTGGAACAAGTGGTGAAACATCATAGATATAAGAATTTCCCTAGGGTTTGGATCAGATATGTCGTTGATATTTTTGCTATTTTCGTTATGAAAATCACAGATATAGAGATTACTTCATTTCAAAGTTGAATAATTGCTTCCCCTCTATCAAATTCACTTTTGAATGCGAAAATTACCATTCTTAGATATTCTTGTGATCCAAAATGGCGAAAACAACTTAGAATAATTTGATGTTTTTAGAAAAGAAACCAATTAACACACTTAAATACACAACCAATGACTCCAATATCACTGTTTTCAACAAAAACTCGCAAGTATAAAGTTTCTAGTAGTACATAGACTAGTTTTATTTACTCTGAGCAATGACAGATTCGATGTTGAAAGAAGTGTTGTTTATAAAGTGGCTGGCGTCAATGGTTGATATATGGTTTATGAAAAAAGTAGATAAATTAATACGCAGACATAAATTGAAGTTGACACTTTCGGAATTCTATGACTTTTCAAGCCGATGAAAAAAATTCGAGAAGAATCCCAATCCCATTCAATTATTCAATTCCAAGTATACGAAGGGACTTGATAAAAACAGCTTCTGTTGACACTTCACCTCTTCACCAAACACCTTTCGGTTTGATGAATAAAGCATAGAAATCATATTATATATATTCGCGCCAGTCAAGGTCATCATCTGCCGATTACATGAAACTGCGAGAAAATGTTTCTGACTCCTGGCTTAGATTGGAAGTTAGACAATCATGTTTTCCCGTAGGTTTTGTCATCGCAACGTCAGATGATGACCTTGGCTACCGCGAATAGGGGAATATCAATAAGGTTTTCAGAGACGTATTGAAAGTGTTCATCAGTCTAGGTCAAAATTAGGCAATTTATTAAGCATTCCAAAAGATAAGGTGGGCAACTGGAGATGCACTTGCCTACGACACCCATATATGGCAAAGCTTCATTAGAAAAACATGGGGAATCTCTAGCTGTAGCGCTAGATATATCAAAGGCATTCGACTGTGTTTGGCACCAAGGACTGCTCCACAAAAACTACCACCATACGGCTTACAAACTCAGCTATGACACCTGCTTTCATCGAGTTTTCTTTCTTTCTTCATGTGGTGGTAGACGGAGAATCGTCTGATACCATTGCCATCAATTCCGGCGTTCCACAAGGATTAATCATAGCACCTATATTGTTCCTAATTCATATCAACGATATATTGGGAGCAACCAGTTGCTCTATCCACAGCTTTGCAGACGCTTGCACTCTCCATACTGCGTTCTCTCATGGAATTGCCATTTCTTCCCAGGAAACATTCACGAACAAGGCAGTCCAACGCTGTCAATGGAGATCTTCAGGAAATTACAGCCTGAGGAACCAATAACCTAGTTGAATTCAACGCCACCAAAACTCAAGCCTGTATTTTCTCTAGAAAGGCGGAACTCAGTATGCCTGATGAAACAATGTCTGGTACCACCAAGACCACTACATCTATGCTCGGTATTACCATCAGAATCATGTCCGATCCATCGCAAAAACTGCTTCACAAAAACTCGGATTCTATTGTTCCGTGCGAGAATCTACTTTACGCCTCAACAGCTTCTCATGATCTACAAAGCACAGATACGGCCAGTCATACGCTGCTCTTAGATTCCATCCAGAGCAGAGCCATTCACCTGGTGGGTGGTGCCACACCCACCAACTCTTTGACCCCATTAGAACACTGTAGAGAAGTCGGCGACCTTTCACTTTTCTATAGACACTTACACGGGAAATGTTCCACAAAAATATCTGCTATAATTCCATCACTAGCAATACCAGTCAGACGAACTCGACAGAGGCCCAGTCAGCACACACCCCTTCGTCGTTGACCTTGAAAAATGTGGAAGAACACTCGTTCGTCTATAGAACGGCGAAGCTTTGAAGTTCCTTGCCAATGGAAGTATTCCCATGAACTTATAACCTCCAAAAGTTAAAAAAAATCCAACACCCATCTCCTCTCCCTATCTTCTCTAGGTACGCACGATGTTCCACGGACATATGAATTTGCTTTCGTGCGCTCCAAGAGATAAAAAAACAGATTGAAAACATCAAATTAGTAAAGCAACTAATAATATATTAGGAAAATAGATGCATATGAAAGCCTACAGTTATTTTAGAATAGTAAAAGAGTAATAAATAGGGATAATGCATCTATTCCATTCTAGCCTTCTGTATAGTTTGGTGATATAACATAAATATGTGAAATCACCCATGACAAACATTAACTTAACGGTTAGTGCAATTCACGGTTGGGTGGACATATACCTAGTACTTAAGTAGAACATTAGAATAGAATAATCAGTTTTGATCTTCACCTGAAGATGCTAAAATACTTAGCGAAACAGGTGTCGAGGCGTAAAATAATCGGTTGGGTTAGTGGTAAAACAGTGTAGTGTATTATCGTGCCAAACGTTCCAGTCTTCGATATATGCTCTACTGATGAAAACAAAAGGATTTTATATAGATATTTTACCAAATCACCTATGGAACATAAAACAGCATCGGAACTGTGTAGTATCGAATTCTTAGAGTATAGAACAAATCACTCAATTTCGCCAAATACAATAGAACGAAAAAATATTGAATCACATCAATTATCACTTCTTCGAATATTTTCAAGTCGACCCCTATGAGCAAAATGATGGTGTCTCGTCTGATTCGTTCAGTCATGAATGACAGTTTGGATTCTTCTGCACTTTGAGAGGAAACGTTTTCAGGCGAACAATTTGAAGACTTTCGGGTTGGAAGACGGGCGAACCGCTCATATGTATAGAAGATATTTTTTTAATCGCTTGGAGCACACAAAAGGAAATCGATCACATTAATGTTCGAAGAGCATCGTGCGTACCTCGTTGAAAATATGTTCAAACTATCAAGGACTAAATATAACCTCATTCATTATACTCGTGGATCACAGGCAAGCACAAAGTCATGACATATTTTAAATGGTTTATTTCAAATAATAATAGGTACAATAATTTAGTATTCTAAAAATCCAACAAGCAATATTTATTACCTACAGGTTTGCACCTAGCAGCAAGCGAACAATAAAATAAGTGAAAACAGCCTTTTTTATAGATAAAAACTCGGATTAAAATATACCATTCAACAGGTCACTTATGTAAGTCTCGGGATTACGGAATATATCCAGCACACCTGAAAAAAAAATGCATTGCCATGTTATAACTTCAACGCAAACATTCTATACTGTCTGTAGGGTTAATGGGGAAGGTTAAATATTAATATCTCTGAACTTTTGAAAATGTCTCTCTTCGTTTCTGAAAAAAAATAAGTCCACTTACCTTTGGACGTTTCCAGAACAAATCTGCTACCGTTTTCAACAAAAAAATGGAAAATAATTCTTTGGATGGATCTTTTCGCTTTCGAACACATTTTTCTACTTCTGTCGCTGAGAATTAACAAAAGTAAAAAGTCCAATCTCAAGAAATATTTTATTTTTTTATGCTGAAAATGGTAGCAATTTATTCCCGAAACGTCCAAAAATGAGTAAAATTTTATATTTTATGGGGTGTCACCGACTATCGATTGACTTTTTCTCTAATGATTTTAGCAATTAAACTTTAAGCACAGTAATACTTTGGAGCAAATACAATATTGAAATAGTACTAATTTTTCATTTATGAAGATGAGAATATAACAGATTACAGTTAACAGACAACAGAATATTCAAACTTCGTAGATGTGTGAGCAATTCAAACTATTGTAGGTACAAAGATTTTGTATTTCGTGCAAAATAATTTATTTTGAATGATTCGATGAGTATCTACAAGTAAGTAACGGGTTTGTACACACTAGTCGAATTTTTGTCACATACCCATTTTATATTGATCATTTCGAGTATAAATAGTATTTGATACAATTATTCGTTATTTAAAATCATCACAAATATTTTTTTTACCAATGATTAAAATCGGAAACTTCGAAAAACCCTGGCTCTCGATGACGTCATACACATTCTCGCCTCAAAAGTGATATTTATTAATATCATTCTCTTTATTCCTCAACAACCAATGAGAGCATAACAACATGTTCCGACGCTGCCAATTTCATAACTAGTAATTACCTTATGAGATTCAATATGGCCAATGACGACAGTATTCACATTCACAGAAGTCAATGGTTCCACCTGGCCTAATAATTACTTAATGACTACTTATATAATATCTTGCAAGATGATTCAGTAACAATGAGAATATCCTAATATCCCTATTAATGTTCGAGATTTTATTTAATGTCTTCTAGAGGTCGCAGTGGAGGAGCGGTATTGGCCCCACTCACATGGAACCTAACATAACCTAGCTCAATGTCAAGTGACAACTCGGAATTGTCATACTTTCGAGTTATAACACGTAATCAGCAATAATTTCAAGTTATATCTCGAAATTAAATCAATTGTTTCCCAAACTGGGATAATCCGAAAATTACATTTCTTTTTTTTTTTTTTTTTTTATCGCTTGGAGCGCACGAAAGGGAATCCCTATAATGTTCAGAGAACATCGTGCGTTCCTAGGGAGGATAGGGATAGGAGGTAGGTATTGGATTTTTTTTTGAACTCCTGGAGATTATATGTTGTTGGGAATACTTCCTCAGGCAATGAATTCCAGAGCCTAGCCGTTCTATGGATGAAGGAGTTTTGATAAAGTGCTGTTCGACATCTTTCGAGGTTGACAACGAAAGGATGTGCTGACTGGGCTTGTCTAGTTCGTCTGACTGGTATTGCTAGTGAAGGGATGATAGCAGAGATTTCCGAAGAACATTTCCCGTGGAAGTATCGATAGAAAAGTGAAAGGTCGCCGACCTTTCTACGGTGTTCCAAAGATGTCAAAGAGTGAGTGAGTGTGGCGTCACCCACCAGGCGGATGGCTCTTCTCTGGATGGAATCTAAGAGCATCAGCGTATGTTTTGGTGCTGAACCCCATATGTGGGAACAGTATTCTAGAACAGGTCGTATCTGCGCTTTGTAGATCATGAGGAGCTGTTGAGGTGTAAAGTAGCTTTTCGCACGAAACAAGAATCCGAGTTTTTGGGAAGCAGCTTTTGCGATCGATCTCACATGATTATCCCATGAAAGAGTGTTGCTGATGGAAATACCGAGCATAGATATGGTGGGCTTGGTGGGGATGGTGGTGCCAGACATTACAATGTCGGGCATACTGAGTTCCGCCTTTCTAGAGAAAATACAGGCTTGAGTTTTGGTGGCGTTGAATTCAACTAGGTTGTTGGTTCCCCAGGCTGTGATTTCAGCAAGGTCTTCATTGACAGCATTGACCTGCCTGCGCCGTGAGTTCTTAGTTTCCTGGAAAGAAATGGGAATTCTGGAAGAGAACGCAGTATGGAGGGTACTATCATCTGCAAAGCTGTGGATGGGGCAAGTTGTTACTCCCAACAGATCATTGATATGAAGAAGGAATAAGGTTGGTGCCAAAATTGATCCTTGTGGAACGCCGGAATTGATGCCAATTGTATCAGACGATACACCGTCCACCACCACATAAAGCGATCTGCCTGAAAGAAAGCTCGATAAGAGATGGCATAGTTGAGGTGGTAAGCCGTATGATGGTAGTTTGTGGAGAAGTCCTTCGTGCCAAACACGGTCAAATGCTTTCGATATGTCCAACGCGACAGCTAGAGATTCCCCGTGTTTTTCTAATGAAGCTTGCCATAAATGGGTGACGTAGGCAAGTAGATCTCCAGTAGATCTTCGGTGGCGAAAGCCGTATTGCCTATCATTGATGATTCCCGAGCTCTCTAGATATTTGATGAGCTCAATATTGATGGCTTTCTCCATCACTTTGGAGATAACTGATAACAGGGCAATGGGCCTGTAGTTATTGGGCAGGTTCTTATTCCCTTTTTTGGGGATTGGTTGGACTCTAGCTGTCTTCCAGCATGATGGAAAAATACCCGACCTATACGAGAGGGTAAACAACTTGCAGAGAATCGGTGTTAATTCTGGTGCACATTTTTTGAGGATAATGGGTGGAATTCCATCAGGACCGTTAGCCTTATTTGTTTTGAGATCAAGCAAAATTCTTCTGATAGTGCGTTGACGGAAGAAGATTTCGGGCATTCGACTTTCAACGGGTGGAATGTCTGGCGGCACTTTTCCTTGCGAATCTAAAGTAGAGTTTGCTGCAAAAATCTCTGCAAAAATATTCGCTTTCTCCTGCGATGTTGTTGCTAATGTGCCGTCGGATTTGGACAGTGGTGGAAATGAACTATTAGTGAAATTTCTTCCGACCGCTTTAGCAAGGGACCAAAACGAACGGGAGCCATTGGGACAATCTATGAGTTTCGATCTTATCTTGGCATTGTATGTTTCTTTCGAAGCATCTATTGTTTGGCTGCAGGTATTTCTGGCATCGACGTATTCTGCTCTAGTCGCGGGGTTAGGGTTTTTGCGCCAGCGATGGTAGGCTGTTTGTTTCAAGGCAACAGTTCTAGAACAGTTTTTGTTGAACCAGGGTTTCGATGGTGATGATCTTTTCGAAGAATGAGGTATGTATGTGTCCATTCCAAGCATGATGATCTCGGATATTTCCGCAGCACACTGTGAAGGGTCCTCAGAGTCAAAGCATACTCTATGCCAAGGAAACTCGGAGAAAAACATGCGGAGACCGTCCCAATCTCCTGAATTGTAATGCCATATAAGACGTGGGGGTGCCGGAGCAGTTGATGGAATGAAGAATGGGCAGGTTGTAGAGATGAGTGTGTGGTCAGAATTGCCAAGTGGAGCTCGTACATCTATGGTGTAGGGTGCTGAATTATTAGTGAGTTTCTTAAACAGCTATCATTGCTGAGAGCACATTGTCTTGATGGACTGAAATTTTTGAAAGCTAAAGGTTGATTACTTAGTTGCAGACTATACTCAAAAGCATTATGTTATGAAAAAATTTAAATAAATTATTTTGCAGAAAATACAAAATCTTTGCACTCACTTATGAGACCAATTAGCAAGGGCGTACCCAGCGATAGGAAGGGAGGGGTAGCTGCCCCCCCCCCTAGAACATTATCAAAATCTCATTCTGGCGTCTTCGTATTTATAGTTGTAGCATGGCATGTCTATTGATTAATAGTTTCTCGGTAGTTTTCAGTTCTCCATCCTTTCCTCGAAACAAATATAAGCTGCCCCCCTCCTCGTTCAGATCCTGGGTAAGCCCTTGGCAATTAGCATATAAGCTTCAATGTAACAACTTTTTCCATGTAGAAGGTAAACTAAATATAACATGTTCACGACAATCAAAATTCACAAAAAAATACATCCTTCATGTAGAATCCTGAAGAATTATATTCAACAAATTAGTTAGCAAAGAAGTGAGCCTTGGAGGGAACATCCGTAAAATTAAAGGCGATATCAATATAAGATATAAATAACAAATGATGTGGTTATGGAGTTATGGACACAAATCAAGCCAATGTGAACACAATCAAGCTTGTGCCTTCTGTGCTGGCAACCATGACATCCAAAAGTGTGATAAAGAAACGCCCAGTTATGTAAATTGCAAAATAAAATATTCTGGATCAAAAAATTTTAAAATTTTAGCAAATTAAAATGTAAAAGCGCATTATTAGGCGACATGAATGTTGATAATCTCAAGCAGACCGATTTTGATGAGGCTCATGGGCATGTACTCATCTAATTATTTCAAATTATGTAACCCAGATATCTCAACAAGGCACAGTGGAAAGAAATCAAGTTCAATGGATCAGGTTATTACCAAATCATGTGAATAAATTAATATATCCTTCAAAGTTTCAGCAATTGGTGATCATAAAATTCAAATCATGAATTTTCCGTTGAAATGTTATTTATTTATTCATTTAATAATCAAACAACTAACTTCCAGGCAGAATAGGGCCTGGTATTAGGAAGTACATAATTATATACCAATAGTTAAACATTTACTAATTCAAAATACATCAACAACAATGAATTGGCAAACATAGAAAAATATTTGTAGGGAAAGCATATTAAAACAACGTTACTAAAAATGTTATCCAATTCGCTCAGAAACAATCAGTTTTTTCACTTCATTTTTGAATTTACCTATATTTCTGCAGCTTTTGATATGGTCAGGTAGTTTATTGAATTCTATTAAGGCTGCATGAGTGAATCTTTTTTCTCAGAGTATAGA